TAAGCAACTTCAACTACATTTTTTTCACTTAACACTTACTTCTAAAAATTTCCTTCTCTGTCTGTCCTATTTCCCCACCCCACAAAACTCTATAACCATCGTTTTTGCAGGACAAAATGCTGGGACTAGGGATATATGAGTGGGGCTACATAAGCTACTGTTGCCGAAATAGATATCCGAACCCCCAACTGAGGACATTGTCTCTGTCCAGTGGGTGGACTGACCTTTTTGTACTTTTCAACTCAGGCGAAGTTGTGGGTGCCTATGAGGAGTCATTCTCGAGATCGAATGTACATCTGCTCCACTGCCTTGTGCGATTCCTTTCCTGTCTTTTGTACTAGAAATGGAAGACTTCTACTCGTTTAAGACGCTACAGAAACGGACAAAATGAGGGGCCTGAAGTGTGGTGAACGAAGACCTATTGGGAACTGTGGATCAAAAGTATCTGCAAGCCAACTTGAATAGGTTGGAGAACTGTTCAAGGTATTTGCTTATGCCCTTCAATGTTGGCAAATGTAACTTCTTCCAAATCGGCAGTTGTAGAGCATCCAACTCGAAGGTATATTTCTTAAACGACACACCACTGCAACAAGTTGACTAACAGAAGGACTTGATTGTATGGATTAATTCTTTCCTCAAACGAACGCTTGACTGCACGGAAGTGGCGAAGTCAGTCAGATCAATAATGCAACTGATTAGGTTAGCCTTTACGGGGGGGAAAAATAAAGTTTTTTCTAAGATATTTGGAAGCTTCGTTCGGCCGCACCTAGGATTTACTATACAGACATGGAAACCCTGGACTGTCAAAGACTGTACCGTCTTAGAGAAGTTTCAGAGGCGAACGACGTAAATAGTCAAAGGTCTGGGAACACTGCCCTACAGTCAACTACGAGGTGATCTTATACCAATCTTCCGCATTATGAATGGCGTCCATTATTGTTTTGACCCCGATTCTATTTTTATCCAAGCTAACACGCCTACTTTGCGTGGTCATCCTCTAAAACTACGCCCCAGCGAAACAAGCATCGATGGAAGTAAGTTTTTCTTCAATAAAAGAGTGGTCGCAATGTGGAGTGCTCTTTCCGAATAAGTTGTCCTCTTCACCTGCGTGAACACATTTAAGCGCAAACTGGACATGCGCCAGATGCTCTTTTCCATCAGCGGCAATTCGACCCGCGTGGGAGATTATTACACATACTTATTATACTACCCGTGCTAAGTGAGTAGTTATATTTTATCAATCTTTCGACACCAACAGCTTTTCGCTCTTTTATATTTATATTTTGTATGCATGCATTTGCCAGCCATCTTGATACCAATAGGGACCTCAGAGGCGTTCGCATATTTCTCCCTTAATAAAATGATACTGGAAATGTAGGTCGCAAGGCGCCTGTCGATATTAAAATTTGATCGAACCGGCGGGAAAGCTGAAGATGCGACCTGCTGTTGGGTCATCAGCCTGAGGGTAAGCTGACTTGGTATAGTCAGCGTGTGCCTTAGGCTGGCAGAAGAGGCAAAGGCGAATCCAACGCTGTGAAAACCCGGCGAATGCAGTGGCCGAAAAATCGCGTTGGTTTAGAGTTTCACTGTCGTCCAGCCTCCGAGGTGGAAAGATTACAGAGCGTGAAGAACGCTGCGGGTTACTTCGAGAGAGGTTCAGAAGTGGGTTGTAGACATGGAAGGAGATCACGAGGATTTAGTAACGATACTACGAACAAGAATATGCCTGAAAATGAAGGACAGTGTAGGCATTGGCATAGTTAGAGGACTGTTCTCGTAGTTCGATTGAAACAAACTGTTGATCCATGTTGATGACCCCATCCTCATTCATAACAAATATTCCTGCAATCATACCATACCAACCGTGGACAAGGTGTATGACAGGGAAAAAGGACGGATAAAGTCGAGGGCAAATTTTAAGTTGATCAATCTCAACCAAGTTTGGTGATTTCTTATCGATTTATTCAACGTCAAAAACTTGGTGGCGACCTAGATATAGGGGTTGACATAGTCGACAGGCAACACACTGTCGGATCAACACTACCACGCATGATTGAAGATGACAAAGGCAATCGCCTGTGATAGGCCAGGTTGGTTTGTGCGAAGATGGCACATGGGATTGCGAAGTTGGCTTGTGGTCACTCACTCCGCGCAGCCAAGCACGTACCAAAGCTTACCGTCGTCAACGAGTACATATGCACTGGCCGCCTACGCCCGTCCTTCTAGCCAATCCGTCTCACCAATCACTTGTCAAGGCAGACCCACACAAAGGCTGCTCCGGACACTGTGGCGTTTCCCGTGGTCACCTCATCTCAGATGCGGCGCTGTAGCCGGCGGTTGCTCGTCCGTCGGACAGTCAATTTAGTCCTGCCTGTTCTCAACTTCCTTCTGTACAGAATAAACTGTTCCTACCAGTCTGGCCGCCCATGACTTCTCCTAAGGACCTGGCCTGACGATCCCAGTTGCTAGGGTTAAACGTACGCAACGCTCGGATAATGGCTAGAATGGAGAAGTCTTCGCGCATTTTTTAGGAGAAACTAAGCCAAATGGCGGCCGTGTAGAGTTCCTTAGACACGATCGGCTGCAGTAAAACCGACGTCGGCATTGGAGGGAGGGCTTATAGGAACATCAATAGGGATCGGACTGAGGCAACATGCGCATCGCTAGCGGGCGAAGAAGGTGTCCAAAGAGCCCAATTGCCTGCAGATGGTATGCATGCGCTCGATTCCAGCTGCCTCCCCATTCTGCTCTGTTTGAGTCCTTTATCCGCATAGCTAGTGAGGTCACATATTAGTGGTTTGCAGCTCAGAATGACTACACTTCTGGCCAACTCTACAAAGTTGCCAAAAAACCTGATTCAATTAGCTCGAATAGTTATTTTATTCTTGAATAAATCCGTCGAAGCGCAACTCGAGAACTTTCAAATCACAACTACAAGAAGAGCTTTTGTTTTTGCAGTCAAATCGGTCACTCTATCGTACCCAGTTTGTCTTCTAATTTTTAAGGCAACATCTAGGAACGCAAAGAAGATGGCAGATCTAGGGGCCGTGGTGAAGGCTTCGTTGGCCTCTGAGGCCTCCGACGGCACCGATATCTCGTTGCCTCCTCACGTCTGTGCGATAGTTGCTCTTCTTCATCGGAGTCAGTGATCACACCCGTCGCGCTGGGTTTCCTATGCCTAGATGTGTTCAATTTCTTGTGTGATCCCGAAGCTCGACCTGCAGCTCCATTCGAGAAACGCACCGCAACGTCTCTTCTGTATTCTGGACTCTGGAAGGGCCAACGGTCGTCTTCATGCAAACTCAGCCTCTCCACTGCATCCACGACTCGGACTTTCCGGGGCGGCGTGGGTGGCGATTCACTTGATTCCTGATTCTCAGCGTTGTCAACAAGGCTTCGAGCAGCATTGGAAACGTTCTCCCCTGGCAGGTCCCATTTGACTAAGCTGGGAAATGTGTACCTCCTTGACGGTCGCGAAAGCCTCGATGACCGTCGGAAGCTGCGAGATATACGGGACTGCCCAAAACAAGCAGAAAACAACTTTAAAAAGTACATCCCTCTTGTCGAATTCGGAAAGTGTGAATACTGTAGAATATGAGCTTTGAGGAAGAGAGTACAGACACAACATACATAGTTTGCCTCGTTTGAATTTCACAAATGCGTCCTTACACACTTATTTTCAACGCTATCCATACAAACTCTTGGAAGTAGGCTGGTTTATCTGCCTGGGCCTCGAAGCTGTTCTCTTGTTTCATTTTAACTGATAATCGAAATATAATATTTGGTAGAGGCTGCATATTACAGTAGTTGGCCTATATCGTGAAACTTAAACCGAAATTCAAAAGCGCGTTTTAGATTAGACTTGATTTGTCAGATGGCTTGTTATAACGATAAACATGCAGCATAATCTGCAGATACGCCAATAACTACAGGCTGACGACCGTTGAGTGAGTTTTCTCTGGCCGTCGGCAAGAAATATACTCGGTAAAAGTTCGCCATTGTTGTAGTATGCGTTTATCGCGTTGAGTTTTGAAACATTTATATGCTATGGAAAATATGCATACAAATATTACAGGGCTATTCATTTATATAGACCCCTGTATGCATTTATATAGACCCCT